AAAAGAAAGGCTCAGAGCATTCCAGCCAGGAAGAGAAAACAGAGTGGCCTCTTGTTTAAAGAGGAAAAGGAAGCCAAGGCCTAACCTAAAGGAAGCAGCAGTGAAGAGGATGAAGTAGAAAAGCAGGAGAAGGGCAGGGAATCAGAGGGTGCATGGAAAAAGGAGTAGGATGAACTCTGGGCCAGCTTCCTCAGTTATATGGAGCCGAAGTCAAAAGTGCCCCCAAGTACACAGGCAAAGACAGGAGAACAGACTGAAGAGACAAGTAAAGTGTAAGTCACAGCAGAAGAGCTAGAGAGACCTAGAGAAGCAGAAAAGGTTAAAATCACCAGGATGTTTGATTTTGCTGGTGGAGAAGTAAGGTTGACTAAAAGAGTGGATGCAACATCTTAAAATCCTTCTTTAAGCAAAATGAGAAAAACCACAGGCTAATGTCCCTTCAGCTGTGCTGTCACTCTCTGCTGGGTCAGGGATAAAAAGGTCAAGTGGCATGAGCAGCCTTTTGGGGAAAAGTGGAGCCAAGTAGCAGAAAATGAGCGCCCTTGAGAAGTCCAAATTGGACTGGGAGAGCTTCAAGGAGGAAGAAGAACTGGCTGTCCATAAGTGAGGGAAAGGGGTACATCGAATGGAAAGCTGTTCTAGAGCGCATGGACCACAGTCAGTTTGAAATTGAGCAAGATCTTAGGCTGAACAAAATGAAATCTTGATGTTCAGGGGAGAATCAGTAACAGCTCAATCCTGTTGACAATATGATTTCTCTGTGCATCTGTGAAACTCTTCCATTGTCCTCCATTGTTGCCCAGCAGTCTTTTTTTTTGTTCTATGTGAAGTTTTGTGTATCTTGATCTCACATTGTTTCATTTATTTAATTTTTAAAAAATTGTCTTTAAATAAGTAAATTCTGTCCTCAGCAAGGCTGAAGGAGATTAAAAAAAAAAGAAAGAATATGTAGAAGTTGAAAAAATTTAAGATGTGTTATGTACATGTATCAAGTCTCCATGATAAATGTAATCATTATGTAGTGCAAACGTGTTAGTAAAAAGTAAAAGGAAAAAAGGGGGAAAAAAAAAACCACTGGAAAAATCTGGTCTTACTATAAAAAGATTTGGCCTAGGATCACCGTGTCTTGAGCTCCCTTAAAGAGCCCCTGCACAATACTGTGAGACTCTCTGGCTTATAGAAAAGAATAAAAAAGTGAAAAATCATTATGTGGTATATGGTGTGAGCCATGGTGATGTCGTGAACTCTATATTGATGGGTGATTATGGTTCATATGTATCATTAATCTGAAAATTTTGATAGATTTGGGAGCTAGATTGATGGGTATAAAATGACACTTGAATACTACATTATGCTGTCTTTAAGCACTGTTGTACATATATCTGGGTGTGAGATACAGTAGATTATGCTACAGACCAGTTATGAATCTAATCATCTGAGCTATGTGGTATATTTCAGGTTCTGTACATGGAAAAAGGTTTTTCCTTACTGTAGCGAATTGGAGTAGTGACTAAAAAAGAGCTCTCTGAAACTTAAACCTTCATATGTCACGGGTGAGAATGGAAACTAAACCTAGCAGTTACGGGTTTAAATGTAGGATATTATATATGTTCATTTTCATCATTGTGACAAAATACTGGAGGTAAAAAAGGATGAAAAGTTTATTTTTCTGAGTTTCAGATGTTTTCATCCAGAGACAATTGGCTTCATGGCTTTTGGTCCCAAGGCAAGACAGTATACCATGGTAGGAAGCAGTAGTGGAGGAAACCACTCACTTAATAGTAGCTAGAAGCAAAATTTGAGATAGGAAGAGACAGGGTCCTGATATTCCATTCAAGAGCATTCCCCCAGTGACCCAACTTTTTTTCATTAGGCCAGCCTAAAAGTTCTGCCACTTGTCCTTAGTGCCATGCTCTGGGGACCAAGCCCCATCAATGCATGGATCATGGACCTTTTCCTTTTCTTTCCCTCTATCTGTCCATCTGTCTGTCTGTCTTTCTGTTGTTATATTGCTAGGTCTTGAAACCAGAGCCTTGCAGATGCTAGTCAAATGCTCTGCCATTAAATTACATCTCTAACCTTTGACTGTTCAAGATCCAAACTACAGCACTGTGTATCCCATTAAATTTACTCTTATGTATACACAAAAGAAATCAAAATATGTAAATCACCACAAAAACTATATAGGTGGAAACAACCTAAATGTTGTGAGTGGATCACTTGTATGGGATATTATCTAGCCACAAAAAGGAAAAATACTGATACATGCAAAAATCACATATTAACCTCAGACATGCTAAGTGAAAGAAGCCAATCATAAAAGATCCCATATTGTATGATTGTATTTATATGAAATGTCCAGAATATTCAAATCTATTCTCACAGGAAATTCAGTCATTTCCTATGGCTGGGGAGGATGGGAAGAATGGTTTTGTATGTTGCTAAACTGTAATATCTGTTATGTGGTCAGTATCATCTTTATAATGGCTCATCATTCACATTATCAAGAGATTTTCTCCCTTTTAAAAAACTAACATATCTTTCTTGTTTTATCTTAATATTTTATTTATGGTCAGATAATAAGTGCACTGTTACTAGAGTTTCTTTTGGCTTTGGCTGCTGGGAAGTTCAGGACTATATTAAATGCTTAGTCATAGTAACTTAGGTAGGTTCGGTAACTGGTTTATTTTCTTCCACACATTTTAGTGTGAGTACTAAGTTTTACACACAAACTTAAAGGGAAATACTTCATTTTATGATGCCTGCAGTCTTCATCAGAGGCACTTGGGGGTTTAAGTTTGAAGCAAATAAATATAAAAAGTTTACATGAAAAACTATAAGGCTGTGTTTTTCAAGATGGAAGGACTACTTTCTGTGTAAAATGGTGACCATTTCAGGTATAAAAGCAACTTTTAAAAATTTTATTAGTATATGTTTGTGATATATTAAATATATTTATTGTGGGGAATTGGTACATATATACATATCACATCTTGTTTGCCTTTTCTTCCTCTTTCCCTCTCTCTCCCATCTAGGGATAGGGGAAAAACACTGTTGATCCTTGAATTTAGATTTTTAAAAAATGAACACCTAGACACTGGAATTGTTCAAGCAGTTGCTGGGTGAACCACCTATAGATGGAACTAAATCCTGTACTAGATGAGAAAGCAAACTAAGAATTGCCTGAAGCTGAAGCATGAATATAGAGCTTAAGTTACTACCAGTACATATCTTTAAAGAGTTTAGCTATTGTTCTAAATATGTGCTTTTAAATGTATGACAACTGTACTTTGATGAGTACATGGATCCCTGAATATTGCTAGAATATTTGAAAATGATTTATTTAAGCACTGAAGTACATCTTCCTAATACAAGTGCTGTGTTTTAGTTTTAATACTTTATTTTTATTAGTAGTACTTGGGCAATCCTTTTCTTGTGTCTATTCCTGCTTAACACTGAAAAAGCAAAACACACAAAATAAATTACCAGCATAAAGAAGGGGTTGGGTGAATGGATGGATGGAAGTAGGTATCTTCCTTAAATCCTTTTATGCCACTGAAGGCCACTCATATAAATAAATGATCTAATCTACCAACTGTGCTGTGATAGGAATACCTTAGTTACTAACCACCTCTGCTCCTAATGTTACCATTAAGAACCCAGCATCAATTTAGGGTCATGTCTATTGGTTCACAAATATTATTTCTATTTAATAGACAATCTAGTTCTCAAATGTATCACACCTGAGCAATTAGTAATGTAGGAAGAAATTAATAAAATTTTGTCATTAGAACATAGAGTTACAAGATTAGTTTCTAAAAACCAGGTACTTAGCTAACTTTGTACATGAGAGATTTGCTTAATAAAATCCATGTATGATAGACAGGATAATAAAGCATGAAAGAAAAGTATAATATGTGTTTATTTTCTTGTGCCACATTCAGGGGTCCACATTTTTAATTGTTAGGTAATGTTTTTGAAAATAAATGAAGGAGATAAAAGAGAGAAGAAAGTTCCTGACAGTGAGATCCTGTCTAAAAATAAAAAAGGGTTGGGTATGTAGCTCAGTGCAAAGGCCCTGGCTTCAATTCTCAATATGGGGGTAATGGGGGAGGGCCTCTGTAAGTGGACCAGTATCCTTTTGTGACTGGTTTAAATCTCGTAATTAGCAAATTACTAACAAATTCCAAGTGAAGTTGGATCTATTGTGTCTGACTAAAATTCTATCCAGTAGTTTTAACTGCTTATAGCGAGGGGTTTTAGAAGCCTTTATAGTTTTTTTTTTTTTTTTTTTTTTTTTTTTTCGGAAGGGGATGGGATGTTTGTCTCAGTTACTTTCTCATTGCTGGGACAAAATACCCAATACCCACAGGAAAATTTTACTTTAGCTTACAGTTTGTAGAGTTTTCAGTACAAACTCAGCAGGCTCCAAGGCAGGGGGTGCATGACAGAAGGGCATAGCAGAGGTGAAACAGTTCATAGCATGACAGGCAGGAAGCAGAGAGACTTGTTTCTTCTTTGCCTTTTTATTACATCCAGGCTAGAAGACTATTGGTCGGTGTCGCCCACTCCTGAGATGGGTCTTCTCTCTTCAGTAAATCTACCACTCATACTGGGCACTATGCTCAATCAATGGACTAATTCATAACCACATGCAATGATCCAGTATCGCACACCTATTATCCAGTCACTCCCAAAAGCCTCCGCTACTCCCAAAAGCCACAGTGCTTTGGGGTGACATCTAAATATAAGCCCTAACGATGTTCTTCTTTGCCATGGATTGGCCCTAGTGTATCATAAAGGAGGTAGAATTATGACAGGCTCAGAGTCAGTCTAAAGAGCTATGAAGTAGCAGAGACCATACAGGCTATTTCAGGCTTTATATGCTGACACAGATTTGTTGCATAAAATGTATTGGGAGAGATATGTTGGTACTTACATTTATGGTTTTATAACTTTTAAGTTCATTTAGAATAATTTTTCTCTTTGTTTTGATACAGGATATGTTTATAATGTCAGCCCATATATGGAATATCATCCTGGTGGAGAAGATGAACTAATGAGAGCAGCAGGATCAGATGGTACTGACCTTTTTGATCAGGTAAAGTGCTGAAAGTAATCAAAGTTATCACAATGGAAATATGGAGTGCTCATAGCTTTGGCAGTGTGATATTTGTAGTTAGGAAAAAAACATTCTTGTATTTCAAATGTGTTGTCTTGACTTTTTAAATATAGGCAAATGTTCACATGTAGCAGCTGTTCATTTAATTTGTTTTTGGATTATTTTATTACAAATTTAGAGATTGTTTCATATCACTGGCATGCTTTTAGTCTCTTCTGCTAGCTAGTGTTTTCTCCGTCTTCATAACTTTTTTTTTTTTAGACAGGGTCTCCCTTTGTAGTTCAGGGTGACCTTGAATCTCACTCTGTAGCCCAGGATGAACTCAAACTCATGGTGATCCTTCTGCTTCAGCCTCCTGACTACTGGGTTTACAGGCGTGCACTGTGATGTCCGGCCTGGTCTTGATTACTTTTAATAATGATGATAATTGACTTGTGGCAAACAGTAATGTTTGGAAGAAGGAACACTGATCTGCGGCTAACTTGCTGAATCATGCTTCTCTGCTTTCAGTCTATCTTCATTTGTGTTTGCTATATATTCATCCCGGCTTGCTGTGCTGAAACTACATTATCGTTCAGAAAGTTAGATGAAGCTGTTTAGTGAATAGAAAACTTATTTTTTCCTAGAATGATACCAGAGATTCTTGTATCTCAAAGATATTTAGGGCCAGGGATTTAGCTCAGTGGTCCTGCTGCCTGCCTTGTAAGAGCAAGGACCTGAGTTCGATCTCCGGTACCAAAAAAAAAAGAATATTTAGTCACGTTCCCTCTTGTATTTTCATAAGCATTAGTTCTTACACTATTTAGGAGCTGTGCAGAATATGTAGTTACTATCAGTTTACTAACATATTCTGAGATAACAAATAATCCTTGGAAATTTGCCTTTGTCTTTCCTAGTGCTTTATTTTTTATTTTAATAATACTTCCCCAGTTTATACTACTTGGGTTTTATCATTCAAGATATCTGAACCAGATTGAGTAATTTTATAGTTGTTTTGGATCAAATAAAATTTTATTTCTATTTATATGGTCTTCTTATTTATGTATGTGATTTTTGACCAGGTTGCCAGAAATATGATTTGTTTTATACTTAGAAGTAGTACTTCATAGCTATTTAAATGGCAAAGTCTCATTGACTGTTTTAGTGTTCTTCCTGGGATTATCATATTTGCCCATTGGTCATGATAGCATTCTCATTGGGGGGGGGTTCTTATTGCTGTTTTAAGGCAAGTTCCCAGTGTCAGTTGATATTTGTTATTACATAGCAAGACAAGCCAAATAGAAAGGTTTTAGGAATATTTGCCTAAAAAAGTTGCCTTCCATGTATTTCTCTTTTATCTGCTTTGATAAGTTTTGATATTTCTTCCACAAGTATAATTTTCAGTAAAATCTAGGCTTGTGTATATTTCACCATGTTATGTATTTATACGGGCCTAAGTATTGTGAATTTATATGGGCTTTATTTAAGGAAAACTTGTCTGGAAGAAGTCACAAGAAGTGCTATATTGTAAGTTCTTTAGTAGTAAAAATAATACATTGCGCCGGACATGGTGGCACTCACCTATAATCACAGCCCTCGGGAGGCTGAGGCAGGAGGATCGCTTTGAGTTCAAGACCAGCCTAGGCTACACAGTGAGTTCTAGAGCAGTCTGAACTACATAGTGAGACCCTGTCTCAAAAAAGAAAAAGAAAAACAAACAAAAAAATACATTGCTTACCAGATTCTGCATTTCCCTTGGCTCTAATAATACCAGTGAATTAAAATTATTTATGACTTTTACCTACCATAGAAATAAACAACTTTGTATTTGAAAAACTGGAGAAGTGCCTTGGACCTTCAGTATAAAACTTTACTTGTAGCCAGGATTTGAGTTGTCCAAAAGTATTAATCTTTTTGTTGTCATATTTCTATCTCCGGTTTTAATCCTAGTCTTGATCCCTTGTTTTACATTTCAAATTGCCTGATGGGTAGTTTGATAACCTGTGGGTATTTCTTCAACTCAGTGTGCTCTCAAATAATATCAACTAGGGCCAGGGATTTAGCTCAGTGGTTCAGTGGCCTGCCTTGCAAGCACAAGTACCCGAGTTCAATCCCTGGTACCAAAAAACAAACAAACAAAACACACACACACACACACACACAAAAAAAAAACCCCAATCAAATAATATCAACTTATCCACGCTGGGGATTTAGCTCAGTGGTTCTGGTGCGTCCTCTTTCCTCTTTTTCCTGTTTTTTGTTTCTGATAATAAGGACTTGAACCTGTGAATAATTGCCGTATGCCTCAGTATTCAGTCACTGGCCAAATCCCATGTTTCTTTAAATGTTACACTTTTTTCTTCCTTCTTGTCACTGGACAGGGTGTGAGAAATTCTCCCAAAGAAGAGCTTTGGATCTCAACCCAGCCTATCAAGTGGGTTCTTAACTCTCATCACTGAAAAAGAGCTGCAGGATTCATTAGTGAGAGACACAGACAGATTTGATTAGGAAGAGTTAAAGAAGTACATACTCAAGTAAAATAGAGTAAAATTCTCAAGGGAGAGGCATCCTGTAGTCTAAAATGGGGATATATATGTATTCTTGAAGTTATTCTTTAAAATGGATGATGTAAGATGTTTTGTCTAAAAACATTCTTGGAACCCTTCAGTGTCTTTCTTCATTTAATTAGATCAAAGTTGCTGCCCTTTTACCTTTATCAACTAGGTTAATTTATAGACAGAGTATTTTTAAGAGATTTGGGTGTGACAGGCCTGAAAAAGCAAAACAAACTACAAATAACCTAGGAAATACAAACAAGCCTAGGAGTAAAGATAAGGAGTACAGATATGGATAATCTTGAGTCTCTCTCTCTCTCTCTCTCTTTGGTACTGGGGATCAAACTTGTGTCCTTGTGTTTGTGAGGTAGGCGGTGGAACCACTGAACTAAAGCCCTGACCCCAATAACTTTCTATCTTGAAGTTGCAGTTTCCTTAAAAATAGATTTTTAAAATTGCGATATTCCTTACCTCCTTTCTACTTATTCTTTCTAGGCTGGGGATTTAGCTCAGTGGTGCCACCGCCTGCCTCGCAAGCACAAGGTCTTGAGTTCAATCCCTGGTAACAACAACAACAACAACATCTAATAGAGACATTATCTACTTATTCTTTCTACTTATTTCTTATTTCTTACCTCACTTCCCACTGCCTTAGTTCAAGTCATCGTTATCTTGTGTAGCCCTACTGTTTTAATGCAGTTCAGATATCTTTATCTTCAGTACCAATTTTGGTAATATAACAGCTGGATTTATTTTCTTAGCATCAGCTCTCAGTGGCTTACTAGTGACAGTGGAATAAATTTAAGTCATTTGCCAAGCATTTGAGAACCTAAGAAAAGTATTTCAGGGTAAATATTCTTCTTGACCAAACTAAAGTACTTTCTGTTTTTCACTCATTCCCATGATTGACCCCATACCTTGCTGTGCTTGAATACCTTTCTCTTTTATGTATTGACTTAAATTCTACCTAAGCTCATATTCTCAAAGCTAGTGCTTTACACATTAATGGATGCTCCATACAAAATTTGGCAAATAAAATTTCAGTGTACTGTATATTACTATATGAGTGCCCACTTATAAATACATGTGTGTTTTAAAAAAACGTGCTATTTTAATGTTATATATTTACTCAGGATCATATCATACTCTTGTATCAATATTTGACCTGCCTATTTTAATGTTTTTATAGGATTTTATGAATAATATATTATGATATTTCCTTTCTGATTTTTCTACAATTGAAGAGTAAGTTTGTTCCAGTATTTTACTAATTTACATAGTGCTATGATAAGTACTAGAAATATGAGGAAAAATAATTCTCAACCTGTTAGCCATGAGATGTGCCAAGTTTTTAATCTCAGAACATCTAGGAATGAAGTCATGAACCAAAGGAAGAGGTTAGGGGAGTTTTATTGGAAGTGAGAAGAATAGCGCCTGCATTTCCGGGAGAGTCCTGATGGATGGCTATTTGGCCTCTCAGTCCAGAGCTACTTATAGATAAGCAGAGTACAGGTATTGGTCAGTTGTTTAGTGGCCACCAATCACAGTTAGCTCTGGATGAAAATGACTAATTGGTGGGCCTGGGATTTAGCTCAGTGGCACCGCTCCTGCCTTGCAAGTACAAGGTCCTGAATTCAACCCCTGTACCTAAATAATAAAACAACCAATTGGAACCTAGGCTCTCTAACCCAGTTCTTCAACATTTAGACATTAATGGAAATTGAGATTTTAGAGAAAGAAGCTTGTTATTTTATATTCTAAATTCCTCAGAACTTAGAGCTTCATAGGGAGTGTTTATATCTTCTTTTAGTAGGGAGTGGGCTGCATTCCATGCTGCCCGAGAAAATTCATTCTTTGTTCAAAGTCCTAGTTCACTGTCCTTTCTTATTTTAGATTTTATCAATATGAATGGATACCCTTCCGTACCTTAGGCCTTTCAGCTAGCTAGCTGCCTTATATATAAGCTAACTAATTAAACTTATTTTCTACACTAATACTTCCATCTGTCTGTATATCTAGATATTTTCTTGAGTAAATTCCTAAATATAGTATCTGAGTGAAAGGGCTGAACATTTTAAGAAAAAATATCTCTCAACCTGTTTTAGATATATTGAGAAGGTTCTTTTCAGAAAGGTGGTTTAAATTTAATTCCCACTGATAGCAATAAGTGGCCATCAGTTGTTATCCTTGAAGTAATAATTTTACTTTGCTCATTTTCAAGAAAGCATCTGTTAAATCAATACCAAAATCTCAGTAACCAGTTTGTTTATTAGTTACTCCTTCATGTGTTAATGGCTCCACAAGAGAAATCCCATTCAATTTTCAAATCAGACAATTGGTAAGATTTTTTTCTTTAGGTGACTACCATTCTTTTTTTTTTTTTTAACCATACTTAACATTGAAATGGTTTGTGAGGACTTCCTATTTTGTTACACAGAATATAAAAAAGACCTTTTCTGCCTGTCCAGATGTAAGTAAATTAATACTTTTTCTTTGTGAAGAACATTATTAAATCTTCCTCCAACCCATAGTGGTGAAGAATGATTACCAGTATGGTTAGAGTCACTGCCTTGATTAGTGCTAAGATGCTAGCAGTTTTACCCACCAGTGATTATAGAATCACTGCAAATGTAAAAACTAAGAAAAAGGCAAGTGCAGTAATATCTCAGTTCACAAATGCTCCTGTTCACAATTTGCTTCTAAAACAAAAGTATTTGACAAAATTGTTTCCGTTTACAAACTCCACTTTGGTTGACAAATACAACCCTCATTCTCTTCTCGCGCAAAGACAAATGCACCCATCTTCTCCAAAATCATAAACAAACATTTGTCGACTGAAGTACCACTGCGTTATCATGGTGTTCTCATGGAACTAATCAAGGCTGCATGAGTACCCAATGGAATCAGAAAGCTTCAAAAGTCTATAGACTGTACTCTGAGGACACTGTGTCTGTCTGCTTCGAAGTGTTCAAGAAGGCTTAGTTTTGCTCATGACAAAATAAGATCATCTTGTGGAGTTAGTCATGTTACTCCTCTGCTATTTATCTCATGCTAGGTTCACCGTTGGGTCAATTACGAATCCATGCTGAAAGAATGCCTGATTGGCAGAATGGCAGTTAAACTTGCAGTTCCAAAAGGTAAGTAAGTGTGGGTGCTAAATTGGCATAATTAATGGCTGATGCACAAGTACTTTTTTCAAAATTTAACTTGTATTTCAACAAATAGATTTAAATATATCACAATATTTTTCCACTTCTAAAAGTTTTACATTAGTAAAATTCTACCGTAAAATATATTATAAGTATATCATTCTTATTAGTTAGCTTTCCCATCACTGGGACAAATATGTGATACACATAACTTAAAGGAAGAAAGGTTTATTTGTCTCTCAGTCTCAGAGGGTTAGGTCCACAGTCAGCAGGTTCTAAGGCTGAAATGGCATGGTGAAAGGGCATGATGGAGGAAAGCTGCTTACCCCAGGGCAGCCAGGAAGCAGAGGAGGGAAGACCCCAGGACAAGAATACACCTTTCTAAGGGGAAAGCTAGTAAGGGAAAAGAAAAAAATATGAGAAAATGAAAAAATGGAAATGAAGTGTTTGTAAAGGGGGAGGGGAGGAGGGGTGAAAGGAGGGCAGGGACAAGGGGAAAAATGAGAACCAAGATCTGTCATGTAAAGATACAAGATCGCAATAATGAATGTAACTGTACTGTATACCTACAATGTACCAATAAACTCAAGAGGAAGAAAAAAATACACCTTTCTGGGTCACACTCTCAAGGACCCACCTCCAAAGTGTTTGTAGGGGGAGGGGAGGAGGGGTGAAAGGAGGGCAGGGACAAGGGGAAAAATGAGAACCAAGATCTGTCATGTAAAGATACAAGATCGCAATAATGAATGTAACTGTACTGTATACCTACAATGTACCAATAAACTCAAGAGGAAGAAAAAAATACACCTTTCTGGGTCACACTCTCAAGGACCCACCTCCTACCAGGCCCTACCTCATAACAGCACAGTCAGCTGTTCAAGTCATCAATAGAGTAATACATGAGAATTTGGGGTGTACATTTAAGTTTAAACCATAAGAATTATTAAGCAAAGAATCAACTATGTTTATTGTACTCCTTTGTTTGAAAGGTATTGTGGTTTTTATTATGTTTACAAAGATTCATCAATAATGAATAAAGGAGAAACTGCTTGAAAGGTAAGCTTCAAATATTGGTAATCTATGTTCATGATACACTTCATTCTTTGATAAAGATGAAAACTGAGTTCTTCCTCGGCCATATTCTTTGGTTATCATTAATTTAGCTGCTAGTTGCACTTAGCTATTGAATGCTAGAATGTGCCTAGAGAAAATTCTTATGTACTATAAGTGGAAATACATGCTGAATTTCAAGACTTGGTGTAAGAAGAATGAAATATCTCACAATTTTTCATTTATAACATATCAAACCAATAGTATTTTGGATATGTTAAGTAAAAACATTATTAAATTTAATTTAGCCTAGTTTCTTCTTTGTTGATTTGGTTATTAGAAAATTTTAAATATACTCGTGGTTTATATTGTATTTCATTTTTGTACAGTACTGTTCTAGATATAAATGTACTTATAAAACAATTTAATGTCATAGTTTTAGAAATAGTCATATCAACAGTATACTATAGTCTTGGAGTATTGTCACTAGGCTGGGTCTACAGGATCCTGTAAGGTGAATTAAGAACAGTCTACCTTTTTAAAATAAGTTTACAGGTTCACTGATTCCTGTTGTGGGAAAGGACATGCTACTAAAAGAGACTTGAGAAGGGTTTATTAGAGGTAGACATTGGACACACTCAAGAGGGGAGTGCAGATGCTCAGAGGAAAGAGACATGATACAGTTGGACAATGGAAATCTTTTATGCATTTTTGGTGGTAGGAGTCTATGGAATTCAGTGATCTCTAGTTTTAGTCTTGTCTAGTGGGTTGGAAAGGATGGCCCATTCATAGTGTGACACAGTCCATTCGTCTGGGAAATCCTAAAAAGGTGGCCCTTTCATGGTTGATAGAAGACCATTTGCAAGTAAAAAAGGAAGAGCCAGCCCCCTATGTAGGTGGAAGGGAGTTACCTAGGTTTACTGTTTATTGGGAGAAGAGGGAGAGAGACAAAAAGTAAAACCTGGGTTTGTGTTCTGAAACTGCAGTATTTTTTTAAAATACAATTTTTAAAAATCCCTATTTCCTTGTCTCCTTTTCTATCTAGTTTTCACTTCTGTCTTACCTCAATATTGCTTCTAAATGTTTCATTACTTTATTGTAGTTTTCTTACCAGGTTTTGGGGTGCTGGAATCTCCATCTGGAGGTGATTTCTAGGTTCTTTCTGTCCCAAGCAAAGAATTGGCCAAGACCAGTACAAATGTATCATAGACAGCTAAGTTAGTTAAAATATTACAACCAGTGTGACAGGGCTGGGCTCTCAAGAGAGTCAACGCAGAAGAAAACATTACAACTATGGCTGAAGGTGCATTCATTGAAGATCAGGCTTCAAGACAAAGAGAAATGATGACACCCACATATATCTCCTAGGGATAAAGAGCAGTGATTGATACTCTAAATAGGTATCAGTCACCTTGGGTGGGTGAACAAAACCTCACTAGTCCATTCTTTCCCCAAAAGTCTTTGTTCAGTCCATGTATACTTCCTACATGACTTGCTTCCCCATTTGGTCCCTGTTTAATCATTTTTACGTAAGTGGCTATACTCATAATTTTATTAGTTGGCCATAATTTTTTTCCCACATTATACCCACCTTGTGATTTTCCATTGGATCAGTATTACATAAGCTACTATACTTACAGTCTTATTAGTTGACTATAGTTTGGTCCTACCTTATACTTGCCTCATCTGGGGGTTTTGCTTTATAAAACTCCCTTGAGAAGCAGGGTCCATGGGCAACCCACTTTCTCTGTCCCCTTCTGTTTCTCTTAGACAGGAGCAGTCTATCTCTCAAATACTTTCTACTCTTAACCTCCGCGTACCTAGAATTCATTCTTCAATTTTAGAGAACACAAACTTGGTGTATTGGACATCATGCAGGTTGGGAATTATAGTATTTCCCATATATTAATTGGAGGTTTGTATATCATCCCTATATCATGCACCCTATATCTGTAGCAAAATTTTAATAAAGGTAGGAAAAGAAACAGGCTCTATAGAGCGAGTTTGGGCCAAGTAAAAGTAGGAAAAGAAGTACACTTACAGTGTGACAGTAAGCCACCACGCAAAAGAAAACACAGTGGCCAAAACTCAATGTGGACTATTTTTTTTTTGTATCATTTATTCTTCATGCTGATGTCAGGTCTAGGCAGAACATCTATTGAAAAACTGCTTGAGTTCTTGCAAGAAGTCTACATGAAGGACTTTGAGAACTGTTCTGTGCATGTGTTCCAGGATCTTGTCACATCTCTTTTCCCAGACAATTTTAGCCACACCCAACCTTCATATCTGAGTTTCCATTACTTTGTTTTTAGGTTTCATAACCACTTCCCAACAGTTAATGAAAGTAAACAATTTAGAACTATAAATTAGTTGAGCAGTTAGAAATGAAAGAATATTTAGAGCTGTTTTTCATCCTGCATAGATACCGAGGCTTAAAGGCATACATATCTTACTAAAGGATACATTATATAGTTGGAGAAGCGCTTTTTGAAAATATTGTGTCTCTTTTTGTGAGGCATAGGATCACCTTATTAATGTAGGAATAATTTATTTTCCTTTGGTTCTTACCACTGCCAATCAGCTGGCATTGATTTTCCTCCTTGAAGAATGTTTGGCAGTGCCTTGAAGACAGTTTGGTTCTCACACCTAATGTAGAAGATATTGTCATTCAGGTGGATAGATAGCAGAGATGCTGCTTGTGTTAGAGGGAGAGAGACAACCTGGGCAAGCATTGTGTGAGCATTGAGGCTTGTGTGGGTGTTGAGCAGGCTGAATTTGAGAGGGGATTCAGAGCCTGCAAGCAGACAACAAAGAATTTAATGGGAAGGGGAGGGGTTACTGCCTTGAGGAATTGTGGTGTTTGGGGTGGATGGTAGAATAATGTCAAGCTTTTCAAGATGGGCAAAGTCTTGTCTTTGTTCTTTGAGATTTCCTACATGTCAGCCACCGAGGCTTGATGGCATCTGGGCTGCACTTAGTGTTGTACTCTGGCCTGAGAGGCTGCCATGACAATAGGCCTCATCCACTGGGTGTGACATTACCATCTTTTTGTTGTTAAAAAGGGAAGGAGAATTACACAGAGGAATGTTGTTTCTCATGATTTGTGTTTGGGACATATGGGATACGTGGACACTTTAATTGGGAGAGAATTTTGCGGGGATAGGATGGTACAGGGGAGTTTGTCACATTGGCTGATTGGTGATAGACTGAACTGGATTTTGTAGGAGTTGTGAAAAAGCCCTGAAAAGGCCTGGCTAAAAGAGAAGGAGGAGAAGTAGGAGAAGAATAGAGACAGAGGCCCAGTTAATAGAAGTGTAAGACCCAAAGTCTCACCTTCCAGCGTGAACAGCTGAAAGGGCCTTCACGATGCTGAGTCCTATAGCTCAGTGAGGCCCCGGGAGCTCTGATGAACAGCGAGACTCACCCAGGAAGGAACACACCAGGCTAGTTAGTAAACAGACCTTTATTAGTCTGGCCAGACAGCACTCTCAGAACCAAGTAGCTGGCTCAGAGAGGCTCCAGCTCAGGGGCTGAGGTCCTTTTTATGATGGGGGGTTAACATTGTAAGTTTGCAGGTGGGGGACAAAGGTTAATGGTCTGCTGATTTGAGCTGCTGGTCAGCAGTCACGTACTAGGCAGTCACACATCGATGATTAACAGATATCTATAGGATGTTTCAAAGGCCACCAAGACATTTAGAATGAGCAAACAGTTCGACAATTAACTTGGGGTCTCTATGTATGGTACAGATTTTATCTCATAGTCTAGAACCACTAACTTACGTGTTAATCATGATCCAGACTTCAAACAGTACAAGATTGCCTTATGTTCCTAAGCCAGGGTTTGAACAAAGGTCGGGGCTATGGCTACAATGGGAGGGGGTTGGAGCACTGGCTCCTAGGCCCCTTTTACTTTGGTCTCACAGAAGGAACCACGAG